ACATTGTGGAAAGCCTCAAGAATAGGGTAGATCAAACAGAAGAAAGAATCTCAGGGATTAAAGATAAAACCTTTCAATTAGATAAGTCAGTTGCAGAGATAGAGCAGAGAAATAAGAGAAAAGAGAAAAGCCTACAAGAAATGTGGGATTATGTGAAGAGGCCTAACATGAGAATTATAGGCATCCCTGAGGGTGAAGAAGAAAATATACAAGGGTTGGATAAACTATTTGAGGACATAATGGAGGAAAAGTTCCCTGGCCTTACTAGAAATCTAGATTACCAGGTATAAGAAGCTCAAAGGACTCCTGGGAGATTAACTGCAAACAGAAAGACACCATGATGCATAGTCATCAGACTGGCCAAAATAAACATGAAAGAGGCCCTCCTATGAGCTGTAAGGTGAAAGAAGCAGGTAACCTACAAAGGAAAACCCATTAAACTAACTGCAGACTTCTCAATTGAGACCTTACAAGCCAGAAGAGATTAGGGCCCTATTCTCACTCTTCTCAAACAGAACAATGTCCAGCCTAGAATCTTGCACCCTGCAAAACCAAGTTTCTTATACAAAGGAGAAATAAAGACTTTCTCAGACAAGCAAAAACTGAGGGAATTCATCAACACCTGCCCTGCCTTCCAGGAAATACTCAAAATAGTGTTACACATGGATCAGCATAATAAACACTCACCAGTATAAAATCATCCAAAAGCTAAAGGTCAAAGGCCAGATACCACAATGGCTCAAGAGAAAAAACAAAGCAACGAAGTTCAACTCAACAGGATGAACAGAAATCTGCCCCCCTTATCAATTCTTTCAATAAATATGAATGGCTTGAACTGCCCATTAAAGAGACACAGGCTGGCCTAATGGATAATATACACAAGCCAAGTATCTGCTGTCTTCAGGAAACACATCTAACTCACAAGGACACATTCAGACTCAAGGTGAAGGGATGGAAAACAATATTCCATGCAAATGGAAACCAAAAGAAAGCTAGCATAGCAGTTCTGATTTGAGATAACTTAGTCTTCAAATCAACAAAAGTAATGAAAGACAGAGATGGTCGTGATATAGTGGGGAAGGGTACGATTCAACTAGAAGACGTAACGATTCTAAATATTTATGTACCTAACTCAGGTACACCCAGATTCATAAAGCAAATCCTACTTGATCTAAACAAAATGATAAATAGCAACACCATAATAACCGGGGACTTCAATATCCCTCTGACAGGACAGGACAGATCCTCCAAACAGAAAATAAACAAATAAACAATGGACTTAAATAGAACTCTAGAACAAATGGGCCTGACATTTATATAACATTCTACCCAAATGCCACTGAATATACGTTTTTCTCATCAGCTCATGGGACATTCTCTAAGATTGACCATATCCTAGGCCACAAAGCATATCCGAACAAATTTTAAACAATAGAAATTATACCATGCATCTTCTCAGACCACAGTGGAATAAAATTAGAAATCAACTCCAACAGAAACTCTCATCTCTACACAAAGACATGGAAACTAAACAACCTTCTGCTGAATGATTATTGTGTTAAGAAGGAAATTAAGATGGAAATCAAAAGATTCTTTGAATTAGATGATAAAGGAGACACAGGTTATCAAAATCTGTGGGACACAGCTAAAGCAGTCCTGAGAGGAAAATTTATATCCATAAATGCCTACATCCAAAAGATAGAAATGCCTACATCCAAAAGACACAAATCAACAATCTAATGAATCATCTCAAAGAACTGGAAAAGGATGAGCAAACCAACACCAAACCCAGCAGAAGAAAAGAAATAACAAAGAACAGAACAGAACTAAATGAAATCAATAACAAAAACACAATACAGAAGATTAATAAAACAAAAAGTTGGTTCTTTGAAAAAATAAACAAAATTGACATGCCTCTTGTTAGATTAATGAGAAGCCTCTTGTTAGATTAATGAGAAGCAGAAAAGAAATGACTCTAATAAGCTCCATCAGGAATGAAAAAGGAGAAATTACAATTGATACCATGGAAATACAAAATATCATCTATGAATACTATAAAAACCTCTATGCACATAAACTTGAAAAAGTGGAGGAAATGGACAAATTATTAGAAACACAGAGCCTCCCTAAGCTCAATCTAGAAGAAACAGAATTCCTGAACAGACCGATATCAAGTACCAAAATTGAAGTGGTAATAAAAAAACTTTCCTAAAAAGAAAAGTCCCAGACCAGATGGTTTCACACCTGAATTTTACCAGACCTAGAAAGAATTGGTGCCTATCCTGCAGAAATTTTTCCACAAAATCGAGACGGAAGGAATCCTCCCCAACACGTTTTATGAAGCCAACATCACCCTGATACCAAAACCAAGAAATGATGCAAGAAAAAAAGAAAACTACAGACCAATATCCCTTATGAATATAGATGCAAAAATATTCAAAAAAATCCTAGCAAACTGAATTCAGGTGCTTATCAAAAAAATAATCCAACACGACCAAGTGGGCTTCATTCCAGAGATGCAGGGATGGTTCAACATATGCAAATCTATAGATGTAATTCACCACATAAATAGAAGTAAAAACAAAGATCATATGATCCTCTCAATAGAGGCAGAAAAAGCATTCGACAAAATTCAGCATCATTTTATGATAAGAATGCTTAACAAAATAGGCACAGACGGGACTTACCTACAAATGATACAAGCCACATATGACAAACTCACAGCCACCATCATACTGAATAGGGAAAAATTAAAAGCATTCCCGCTTAGACCTGGAACCAGACAAGGTTGCCCTCTATCACCGCTTCTATTCAACATAGTGCTGGAAGTCCTAGCCAGAATAATCAGATGAGAGAAGGAAATCAAGGGCATCCAAATGGGGGCAGAAGAGGTCAAGCTATTGCTCTTTGCTGACGATATCATCTTATATCTAGAAAACCCCAGAGATTCTGCCATGCAACTACTGGAATTGATAAACAAATTTAGCAAAGTCTCAGGTTACAAAATCATTGTACAGAAATCAGTAGCATTCCTATATGCTAACAACAGTCAAACTGAGAACCAAATCAAAGACTCAATACCCTTCACAATAGCAACAAGGAAAATAAAATACCTAGTAATATATTTAAGTAAGGAGGTAAAAGACCTCTACAGGGAGAACTACGAAACACTGAGGAAGGAAATAGCAGAAGACATAAACAGGTGGAAAACTATACCATGCTCATGGATCGGCAGAATCAACATTGTTAAAATGTCTATACTACCCAAAGTGATCTACAGATTCAACACAATCCCTATTAAAACACTAACATCATTTTTGCAGATATAGAAAAAATAATTCTACACTTCGTATGGAACCAGAGAGGACCCTGTATAACAAAAGCAATCTTAAGCACAAGGAACAAATTGGGAGGCATCAGTTTACAAGATTTCAAGCTATACTACAAGGCTATAACAACTAAAACAGCATGGTACTGGCACAAGAACAGAGACATAGGCCAATGGAACAGAACTGAGAACCCAGATATAAAACCATCCTCATATAGCCATCTAATTTTTGACAAAGCAGACAAAAACATACACTGAGGAAAAGAATCCTTATTCAATAAATGGTGCTGGGAAAACTGGATAGCCACATGTAGAAGACTGAAACAGGATCCGCACCTTTCAATTCTCACAAAAATCAACTCACTTAACAGAAACAGACTTAAACCTAAGGCGTGAAACTATAAGAATTCTAGAAGAAAATGTTGGAAAAACACTTATAGACATCGGCCTAGGCAAAGAATTTATGAAGACCCCAAAAGCAACCCCAGCAACAACAAAAATAAATGGTACCTGATCAAATTAAAAAGCTTTTGCACAGCCAAGGAAACTATCGCAAGAGCAGATAACCTACAGAACGGGAGAAAATATTCGCATGCTACACATCTCATAAAGGGCTGATAATTAGAATCTATATAGAACTCAGGAAAATCAAGAAGAAAAAAAATCAAACAACCCCATTAAAAAGTGGGCAAAGGACACGAACAGAAACTTTTCAAAAGAAGACAGACTAATGGCTAACAAACATATGAAAAAATGCTCAACATCTCTAATCATCAGGGAAATGCAAACCAAAACCACAATGAGGTATCACTTAACTCCAGGGAGAATGGCCTTTATCAAAAAGTCGCAAAACAAAAAATATTGGCATGGATGTGGAGAGATAGGAACACTCCTACACTGCTGGTGGGACTGCAAACTAGTACAACCTCTGTGGAAAGTAATACGGAGATATCTCAAAGAGCTACAAAGTAGAACTACAATTTAAGCCAGCAATCCCATTACTGTACGTCTACCCAAAGGACAAAAAGGCATTCTATAAAAAAGACATCTGCCCTAGAATATTTATAGCAGCACAATTCACAATTGCAAAGACATGGAAACAACCCAAGTGCCCATCAATACATGAGTGGTTTAATAAAATGTGGTATATATATATATATATATATATACACCATGGAGTTCTACTCAGCCACAAAAAACAATAGTGAACTAGCACCTACTGTATTATACTGGATAGATCTGGAGCCCATTCTACTAAGTGAAGTATCACAAGAATGGAAAAACAAGCACCACATGTACTCACCATCAAATTGGTATTAACTGATCAACACTTAACATGCACATATAGTAGTAACATTCACTGGGTGTCGAGCAGGTGGGAGTGGGGAGGAGAGGATGGGTATATTCACACCTAATGGGTGCAGTGCACACTGTCTGGGGGATGGACATGCTTGAAGCACTGACCCGGGTGGGGCAAAGGCAATATATGTAACCTAAACATTTGTACTCAGGTAATACGCTGAAATAAAAAAAAAAAGATCAGAAGGAACATGATTGGAAATTAAAAAAAATAAAAAAAGAGTCTTATGAGTTTCTCTCAAACTCAAGTTCTAAACTCAAACACACATTTCAGAAAGAGACGAACAAATAGCCAGGGCTGTGTGCCTCTGGCCTAACGGTCATCCAGGCTGAGGCTCCTGGGTCGGGCAAGCTGGTCCTCAAGCCCTTGGCCAAACTTAGCAGCAAAGAGTGAGGAGATAAGGTCATCCCCAATGCTCAGAGCCAGGTCATATGCTGTCTGGCCTGTTGCATTCTTCTTTTGGATGCTTGCATTGCATCTGTGGAGGAAATGGGAAAATAGAGGTGCAATGAAGGACTCAGCACACGACCCCGAGGGCCCAACTCTCCCCTGCTACAAAGCCCAGTCTGGGCACCTCCTGATCCCACCTCCTAAACCTGTCCCTAAGAGGCCACCAGGACTTCAGCTCTCAGGGGCGGCTCTACCCTGAGAACTTTTAAGTGGCTCTGTGATTTGAAAATGTTCAATTGCCAACCCTGGCCATTGGTTCCCATTGCATCAAAGTCCTACAACCAAGGATGTTTAATGGGGACAATATTTTCATTGTGCTTTGAAAAGCCCTTAGTGCCCTGGGGGCCATGGTGAGATGGGGGCCCCCAGTCACAGGGACAGTGGTTCAGGAACTAGGGACCCTCTAAAATCACCACAGGTCAGTAGGGAGATTGCTATGGCCCTAAGAAGTGCCCACCAGAGGCCAGGGAACGTACCCCAGTAGAGTGGTGATGCTCTCCCTTCCCGCCAGGCCAAGTAAAGTTGCTTCATGAAGAGCTGTATTTCTGAGCCTATTTAAGGAAAAAAAAAAAATCGTGGATGAATCTTTAGCTAGCATCCTCAGAAAACTGCAGAGGGGCCTTGGTTTTATTCACTGACCTATTTAACTAACCTGGGAAAATCTGGAGTCTCCTCTCTATGCCCTTCTCTTGGAGAAATACTGTGATGGAGGGTAAGCTTTGACATTAGACAGAAAGTAAAAAGTCTATAAACACATTCATTGTTCAATATGAGGAACTTGTAAGGATCTGGTTTGTAGATGATTTAATCAATACTAATAAATGCTATTTTAGTAAATTTCCTGCAAGAGTTTATAGAACATATTGGACATAGTCTCAGCATTGGCTTGGGCCTCTTGGGCATTGCCTATATGATAAAAAATTTTTAGGGCTGAGACTCCTGTTTTTGTTTGAGGAAAATGACCTTGGCTCTAGTGAGTTCGGCTCCCATGATATGAAAATAAACACCAATCTTAGAGGGCAAAGGGCAGGCCTGAGATGTCAGGCAGATCGCCTCTACCCGGCTCTCAGCCACTCTGGTTATTTGTTCATCTGTTCAGTACATGTGAATGCCAGCCTGGTGCCCCCATTTGTGCCAGGGTCAGAGACGCCAGGTCACATGTGACACAGTGCTTCTCCCTCTCGGGGGACTCAGAGGGCTCAGCTGTCAATGTGGGATGGAGGGGTGCATAGCACGCTGTGGAAGCACTGATAAAAGATGTCCCAATCACAACAGTGACACCAATCTCCTTCTTATTTTTCATCCTTCCTTCCTCCCTAGTGGCATATTGCTTAACTGTCTGTCACTTCACCCCTGAAGTTCCTTGGGTCTTTATAAGGCATTTTTACCATTTGAACATGGATACATTCATAGGGTTGCCAGATCTCCTAAGTGGACTTATGATCTTCTTCCTTCAGAATTCTCCCCAAACCGAGAGCAGAGTGTTCACTCTATTTCCTGAATGGGGTTTTGCTGATAGCTAGATTTTCAGTGCTGGCTATTTTCTGTATAACCATAGTTCAGTTTTGGAACACACAGAATTGCGACTCTGCCAACTCTAATTTTGTACATTGCTCCTCAAACAATTTAATTCCTATATGGCAAGGTCACTAGACGGAAAACACCTTCTTGTTATGAACCCCATGTTTCAGAGTAGAAGTGATAACCCAGTATTATCTCATCAGACCTTCTAGAGCACGGTTTGTACAGTGGGTATACTACGGTGTTCCTGAATTTGTATTTTAAAGAAACTTTACCATTAAAACAAACAACTCAAACTGTTGATTCAAATCTGGATTAAGATACATTCTCTCCTTGAAAATCCTGAATTACCTAATAGAATAAATCTCTACTGCTGAACCTCTAAGAAGTAGACTGAGGGTGGCATCTTCCTCACCTGGCTACTGGGGCAGAGGGCAGCTATTGTCCAAAAACAAACAGCACTTCTCTGTCTCTCTCCTACTGAGACCTACTGTGTTTCTGAAGTCTGCTGGTAAGAGGCATCAGCTGCAGTGGATGATGTGGATTTCTCCTTAGCCATTCTTTTTCTCGATTATGGGTTCACTCTGGTGGGAAGGATACACACCTGGGGCTTTCTACCACCTGCCAAGCTGCTTCACGGAAGTTATTTTGTGTAGAGACCACGTAGGCTCCGCTAGCCAAACACGCTTGGATGGAGGAGAGCATTTTAATCCTTGTTTGCTGAGGAACAACTTGTTGAACCTCTTTCACAGTAAAGCCAGATCTCTGGATGGCATACACCTAAGACCAGTGGGATGGTGGAACCTTGAAGTCATGTTCCTGGATCTACAGAGGTGCAGTTGTGGGGCAGAGGCCAAGTTGATCCAGGCCTAAACTCTTCAGACTAACAGATATGAACCAGACTTAGCAGAATTTGGCTCTCAGGGGGAAAAGCTACTTTCCTCTACTGGCGATCACTGAAAAGAAAGGAGAGATCCCTGTGCTCCATTTAGGGGAGAGTCACTAGTCTGGCTCTCCACCACCACCATCACATGAGCTAAGTAAGTAGTGCTCACCGTGACCATAATAATGCAGTGGGAGCAATGAGGGGCTATTATACCCCATTCAGATAGACGGGTATAACCAGTGGCAGACTTTACAGACATGCAATGGGATCACATGTGGATACAGGTCAATCTGTAGAATGGTGATGAAGCAAACATGGAAAGTGAGGAACATCAAAATAAAACATAATCTGTTCAATGCTCAGAATCATTTCGTCCTCTTAGCTGCACTTTTTATAAAGCCAGGATTCATCATACTTAACATATCAATTCATATCAATAACATGCTCGAGGGATTTTTATGTCAATCATAAAACATACTTAAATGCTATATGAGGGCTGGGCATGGTGGCTCACACCTGTAATCCTAGCAGTCTGGGAGGCTGAGGCGGGAGGATCGCTTGAGGTCAGGAGTTCAAGACCAGCCTGAGCAAGAGCGAGACCCCATCTCTACTAAAAAATAGAAAGAAACTATCTGGACAACTAAAAATATACAGAAAAAATTAGCCAGGCACGGTGGCATATGCCTGTAGTCCCAGCTACTCTGGAGGCTGAGGCAGGAGGATTGCTTGAGCCCAGGAGTTTGAGGTTGCTGTGAGCTAGGCTGACACCATGGCACTTTACCTTGGGCAACAGAGCGAGACTCTGTCTCCAAAAAAAAAAAAAATGCTATATGAAGAGCTTTTCTGATTATAAAAATATAAAATATACCTTAACACAAGACAACATAGCATCATTTTTATCAATAATGATGAAAATACAACAGTGTGGGATAAATGAAGAAGCTGACACAGTATGATAAATGTAAACCTTAAGAAAACTTGAGAAGGTATATTCCAGCCATCAAAGCTTTACACCAACATACCAAACATTCTGCTATAAAATAAAACTAAAAAAGGGATAATGTCTATTGATATAACTTTCCTGGTGGATAGAAACTTATAAAAATGCAAAGAGAAAAATTAGCAAGGATATATTTTGAATAACAACACTAGAGAAAATTTTGAAACAGAGACTAATAGAAGCAAAGCTATTGAAATTTTGGCCTCTGCAGTGGCTTGACATACACAGCAGCATGTTTCACTGATCTGGGCCTTGACCTTGTCTTACTAAGAATTCAGGAGGCCACAGGTGTTAAAATACCTGTGATATCCCTAGAAGACTTACTTCAACAACTTGGTCAGCAGGATATAAGTGTTAACATGAATGATCCCAGCCAGGCGCGGTGGCTCACGCCTATAATCCTAGCACTCTGGGAGGCCGAGGCGGGTGGATCGCTCAAGGTCAGGAGTTCGAGACCAGCCTGAGCAAGAGCGAGA